TCTGAGTCGCTTGGTCAGGATCTAGTAAGCTCAGCCATCCTCCGGCCGATGGCTGCGACGGCTGTATGACAGCCATCATGCGGCCGGGCGGAGATGGCCGGGACACAGCCATCGCAGCCATCGGCCGGAGGATGGCTGCACTTGGCTGGAAGGCAGCCAAAATGGCGCGTGCTGGGAGGGCGGAGTGGCCAGGATGCTTTAATTGCAACCATGTGAATTAAGGATGGCTGGCATGCCTAGTTCTCAGCCATCCGGTAGGAGTGCATGGCTGAGATCTAGGCGTGCCAGCCATCCTTAGCACGGATGGCTGCGAAACAGGGAGCGCAGCCATCCAAGGTACAGATCACATCAGGACACGGTCTCGACACGCTCGGTACGACGCCTGCGACCCGTCTTGGTCAGGTGGCACGACGCTCATCGCGCCTACCAGCGCTGCCGTGCAGGTTGCCACGACGAGGTCGAGCACGCTTCTATACGCTCGCCCAACCTTCCTTTCCATCCCATTAGGCAGCCTGGGAACGGTGGCGGTCAGAGGCAAAGCCTGCGAGGGGTGGTGGAACCACATGTCACGGCTACCGCCGGCTCGACCGCTCGACCCCACGATAGCCTCCGGAGGCTGACTTTGAGGCACAATCATCGGACGACGTCGGCGAGTTGAGTCGCGCTCGCGGTAGCCAGATGACCTCTCATACTAGTATCATCGGCCATGGCCGCAGGAAGCGCGGGGGGCTCCGCTGGGAGCAACACGGAGCTCCGTTGGACGCGTTTTCAAGATCAGCGTGTCAGAGTGAATTGGAACCAGCCACACCTCTCTACTGTGAGATGGGTAAAAAGGAACACAGGTCCCCGCCCGTGCGATCTTTGTGCAGGGTTCTTTGTGGGTGTGGTCGGCGACTAGCCGGGGTCGTCCTCCCGACGGGGGACTAGCACTAGCCGTCTTCCACATGGTCCCTCGGGTCCCTGCTGCTCCTAATCTCTTCGTACATCCTCCTGCTGATCTCCGCAAAGTCCTGCTCCCTCCCTCATCTCGCCCTCTGCGCGTCTGCTCCGCCCCCACATCGTCTGCCCTGCGTCGTCTGGCGACGGGTCCTCCACAGTCGGCGTTGTGGGGTGGACACATCGCCAGAAAAGAATTTTACAAACCAACTCCCTCTGTGCGTCCTGGGGAGGGACAAAATTGTCGCCGCCGGAGACGACTCGACGCCGCTGAGATTGGAGATCAAGCTCTGACAGGTCTTGGCGACAATTGGCCCTCTGTCTTGGCGACTCTCTTAACGTTAAGGGCATGTGAGGGCATGTAAAGCCGTATGTGTGTGCGCGCGTTTAAGTGTGCCCCCAGAGAGTGACAGTCGTGTAAAGCTTTTGCAAACCCAATTCTGGTCCGGGCGTCATCTATAGCCGCTAGCGCTACTTCTTACGATCTTACCCTTCGCCTCGAATCGATGATGCACAAACCGTATCAAACCCCCTCTAGCGTCTTTAAAAATCTCTCTCCAACCCCCGAGTGAAGGCTGAAGCGGGCCTCAGTGTTTTCTCTCTCGCTCTCCAGACGCTCTCCCTAGCGCGCTCTCCCCCACCTCCTGTTCGCGCCTGCGGCGCCCTTCTCGCTCCACGCCTCCCTCGCTGCATATTTATTTTTTATTTTGTGGAAAATGGCCGCTGGTCTGCTTGCGCAGGCGGCCCTCTCGGCGGCCCTCTCCTCCCCGCTCTCGGGCTGCTGGTCTCGCTGCGACGCGGTCACTCGCCTCGCCTCACCCACGCTATTCCGCACCCCGTCTGTCCGGTTGGCGGTGGCAGCAGAGGGCACTCCGCCTCCGGCTCCGCTCACCCTGTCAAAGGTCGCCGAGCTCGTCGAGGCCACATTTGTCCGTGCCTGCATGGACGCGGCGCGCGGCGACGTCACCACGCTTAAGCTCTTCATCGCGTCTGCTGTGGGCGGCTACCGGCTCGGGGTGCCGCTGCCTGCGCTGGGCTCCGCGGTCGCGGCGTGCGAAGCGGAGCACTCGACCGCGGGCCGGCCGCTGCTGCCGGAGGAGGCGGAGCTGCGGACGCTTTGGCTCTCCCTCGTCTACCTTACCCTCGAGGCGGAGGGGGAAGCCGCGCCGCCCGGCGGGGACGGCGGGGACGGCGGGGACGGCGGGGACGGCGGGGAGGCGCTGCTTGCCGCTACCAGCGTCGACGCGAGCGCGCGCGACGAGTACTCTCCCCTGGTGGAGGAGGTGCGGAGAAAGGTTGGCGGGGGCGCCGCGCTCGGCGACCTCTCGGTGGACGACCTCGTCGGCGCCGACCCGCAGCGCACGCCGCTCAGGGCCGCCGTGCTGGCAAACTGCGTCCGCGTGGCGTTTCTGACGCTCGGCGTACTCGGCGACGAGCGGGCGGCGGGCGCGACGACGGCGCGGCCCTACATCCCGGGGACGGGGCCCAAGCGTGGCGATGGGCAGCCGGCGTGGTGATTCGCTCGCAGAATACCTCCGACAGTACGGCCTCCCTTAAGTCCGGCGCCGCTCGCCTCGCGGCGACCCGTCCAGTGTCGCGGTCGAGCTGTGCGCTCCAGGCATGTACGTAAAAGGCCAGTCAATTTTCCAAAAAGGAAGAACAGGCACCAACGCGCATCAACGCGCGCGCATCCGCCGCGCCCGCCCTCAGCCCTTGACAGAGTACCGTATGCCTCCAGCAGCGCAGCGAAAGCTTGCTGCGCCTCGCAGTCACTCGCACCCCCGACCCCCACGCCCCAGCCCTACACTCAGCGCCCCCCCGCCGGCGCGCCTATCCCCCCGCCCGCGCGCCTATGTGCTGAACCGACTTACACCAGGGCAATGCTGCCTATCCGTGCCGTCCCCATTGTCGCCACCGTCTCCCACGCATTCTGCGCCGGATCGTACCGCTCGACTGAGCTGAGGAGGCCGTCATCGGATTCGCCGCCCACAGCATACAACTTGCCGTCGAGCACCGCCACGCCGAGCTTATTCCGCGCCTCTGCCATCGGCGCCACCGCCTCCCACGCATCCAGCGCCGGATCGTACCGCTCCACCGAGCTGAGGTAGCCGTCGCCGTTCTCCCCGCCAACAGCGTACAGCTTGCCGTCGAGCACCGCCACGCCGGGATTATGACTCACCGCCTCCACAGGCGCCACCTCCTCCCACGCGTTCGTCGCGGGATCGTACCGCTCGACCGAGCTGAGGGTGAAATCAGGGTCGATGAAGCCTCCCACAGCGTACAGCGTGCCGTCGAGCACCGCGACGGCGTGAGCATATCGCGCCGTTGCCATCGGCGCCACCGCCTCCCACGACTTCGTAGTCAGGTCGTACCGCTCCACCAGGTTGGCCGTTGCGCCGTCAGCCTCACTCACGCCGCCCGCCACGTAGAGCTTGCCATCGAGCCCCGCCATGCCTGCATACCTTCGTGCCGTTGGCATCGGCGCCACAGCCTCCTCCTCCCACTCATTCGTTGACGCGTCGTACCGCTCCTTCGAGCTGATGAGGCGTCCAGCGGCGTCTTGGCCGCCGATCACGACCAGGCGCGGCCTCTCGCGCTTCTTCAGCGTCTCCTTCCAGCCGCGGCGCCACGCGCGGCACGTCCCCTTGGCGGCGTGCTCCTTGGTCGGCAGCTGGGCGAGGATGTGCGGGGCGAGGTCCGGCGAGAGGAGGACCTCGGAGAGCACCCACTCGGGCTGCTCCACGAGCCGCGCGGCGTGCTCCTCTGCCACGCGCAGCGCGGCGTCGCTCGCGCCCGCCTGCGCCTCGATGATGGCGCACAGCTGCGCTGGCGACAGGCCCGCGACGCGCGCGCCGATGCGGTGGGAGGCCATCGTCGGGACGAGTAGCGGGAGGATTCGCTCGCAAGGGTGTGCGGGATTAGTTTCGCGCGAGCCTGTGCGTACTCAATGAGCGTGCAGCCTTAGGAAACGATTTCTTTGTTACTCGATTGGGATTCCGCGGCTACGCCGTGCCTCCTCATGAGCATCCCGCGCAGCCTCCCGTCGGACAGCGAGGTCGAGGCCCTCGACATGGACAACGCAACCTCTCAGAGCCTCCGCCACCGCCTCTCCCAGCACTGGCGCACCTTCCGCTTTTCACAATACGGGAGACAGACAAAAGAGCGAGCGAGAGACGCGGATTCGCGCTACCAAAAGCATGCGCGACTTGCACTCTTTCGTGCCAATCGCTCGCCGGTGCGCGGGGCATGGCCTCCCGCGCGGCTCGCGCTCACTCGGCCTGCCTCCGCCTCGCGGCGGGCTGAGCACGCCATGGGTCCGCCTGGTGCGGCGCTGCTCGCTCGCTGCGCTGCACAAAGCTGCGAGAAGCAGGGTGGCCTCCTGAGCTTGAGCATGGCGCAGCGCGGCTGCTGGTGCTCGAGGGCGGCCGTGCAGTGGCGTGAGGGCCTGATTGGTGGTTACCCCCTGCTGCATCAGCGTGCGCAGCATGCTCCCTCACCTGGTGCTGAGACATGCTGGTGGGCGACTGGCGCCAGCTTCTCAGTGCTGTCCTTGGCGTTGTGCAGCATGTCGCAATACTCCTGCTGCGCTGACCGGCGCGCGGGGCGCGTCGTGCCGCGAGTGGAGCGAGAGGCTCGAGGCGCGCGGCTGTCGGTCAACCCTGCGGCGCATGCGCGCCGCCAAGGCTGCTCGACAGGCGACTGGCATTGTGGCGACGCGGTCGCCGTTACTCCAACTTTGCTTTGCCGATCAAAAGCGCCCGTCCTTTGCTTTTTCGCCGCCGAAATTTAGCTTGTTGTTTTTTCTTTATAGGCGTCTGCAACTTCCAAGCTGCGTATTCTTCTTGTATTATCGTCGAGTAGTGCAGGTACTCCGTGGGGGCAGTGTGTATTCTTGTAACATGTGCGTATTCTCGTATATCACTGGCTCCGAGTAGAAAAAGAAAGAAAACATGTACTAGCTCCGAGTAGAGGGGGCGTTCCGCCGCTAGGGGACACCCAAAGCGCAGAACTAACCCTCGGAGACCCGTGTTTACTTTAAGGCCCTTGCCCTGCGAATGCGCACCCCCCCTAGCTAGGGGTCAGGGCTCTCTAGCCCGTAGCCCGATCCCGATCATCCGGCCCGCTGGATGCGCTTCTCAGCTCACCGGCCCTGGATGTGAGGTTACCGACTGCACTCCAAGTGCTCTCTGGGCCGGCGCGGGGGCCCCCGGAGGCACCGTGCGCCGCGCCGCAGTGCGGAAACGGGGCTCCGGCTCTACTAGTCTCTACTAGCACCAACTTCCCGATCTAACCCGGTCTAACAGAGGGCAGATTTGGAGAGATCTCGAGGAGTGCATACAGATAGACCCTCTAACCATAAGAAAACTCCGACCTGATCGGTCGTACTGACCGCCGACAGATCACTCCAGACAGCAGACAGGCCGACGTCTGCGCGCGGCCGGCCGGGCGAGAGGCTTGACACGATCCGACCCTGCGACCCTGACGCTGCAGCTCTAGCTATCAGACATGCACTGCTGACTGCTGCCACAATATGCGACCTGTGCTGGCCCACTTGGCGGCCTTCCCGGTCAGTGGTGAGGCGCAGTTCAGAGCTGTCGATGGCGCGATGCCGCACTGGTCCCACATTGGTGACACGAGACCACCAAGTTTGCCAGTCCAAGAGAGAGGCACCGGCGCTGTCCTGTGAAGGTGCGTGGTCCCTCCTGACTGCCCATGCGCGCGAGGCTGTGTAGGCATAGCCTCGAGAGTGCCAGCAGCCAATCCGAGGCGACGCGCATTGCGCCAGAAGCGTGCACACGATGGAAGGACACCTTCCTACTGGTCGTAGAATCAGGTCGTCACTGAATGCTTGATACTAAGGCCGCGAGCTATGCAGGTGATCAATTGTGCATCATGGCACGGTCAGCAGCGCCGACAGGCTGTCGCAAGGCGTGATAGCATGGCCGCAAGTACGCAGAACTCCCATGAAAACAAGTAAATCGCGAAAAAAAGAAAAAAAATCCCGAAAAAATCGGCGCCTGCGGCGGGCCGTGGGAACCCATCTCCCCCCCGCATGGACACCCTCTGGGGGCCCCGCGCCGGCCCAGAGGGAGAAGCGCGATCGCGGCGCAGGCTCAACCTCCTCATACAAGTTAGAACGAAAAACCGAGACCGAGAGCGATAATACAAAGTAAGACATGCGCGACCCCCACGCACGCGACAGAGCCGACACGCCCCGGTGAGCGGTGACACGCGTGTGTTGGCTGAGCTGCTAAAGAGTAAAGTACACATGCCAGATGCACTCGGCACGCCACGAGCGATACTCGCTCGTTGTCGACTGGACGATGTCCAAGGAAAAGTTCTTGCTCGCCGAGGCGTTCTCCATCTTGGTCAGCGTCACGTCGACGCCCTTGGAGCAGATGCAGTGCGTCGCCTCCCGCCTCTGCGGGTCAAGCGACAGCACCTCGACCTGCTCGTCCTGCACCTCGAGCGGAACCTTGATGGCCCGGAAGAGGCCCGATGCCAGATCGCACTCACAGCCCAGCCCCCCGTCTGCGAGCTTAACTGTGCGGCAGCCCCTTGTCGACCACTCGGCACTGCCCTCGTCCCAGGTGTTGCAGATCAATGCGCCGGATGGTCGAGGCAGCCCTTTCTTCATCTCCTCAAATCTATCGCGACGGGACGGTTGGCCGATTTGGGCGCCGGCCGTAGTCTCGCCGAGTCGTCGCCCGTACGTTGCGGTCCATTCGTC